ATATATGTTGATTTGGAATTCCCCAAAGTTCAAACATATCATTATATGAAGATTTTGGAGCTTAAAGCCAAATTCTAAGCTTCCTTCATCATTTGTTGAGACCCAAAATCAACACACAATCATCGTTCAATCTTTCTTGCATGACATGTTTGGTTTCCCTAAAATCCTACATGTATCATGCCATAAATCTTTGAGTTTGGGACCAAATTCCGAGCTCTCCTATCTTATTTGTTGGAATACAAAAACAAAAAATGGTTCTCTCACTTGTTGCTTTCCAAACTCATGTGGAAGACCTCTAAATAACCTCTAAAGAACCCAAAAGCACTAGCAAACCTCATGATCAAATCCTAGGTTCATTTGATTTGTTTGTTGAAACATAAAATTGGCAAACAATAATCCATCTTTTTTTCATGCATGGTAATTTGAAGTCCTCCAAGACCTCGAACGTATCATTGTATGATTTCCCTAAACTTAAGACCTAACCTTATGTTCTTTCACCTCATGTGTTAAGTATAAAAAATTGACAAATAACCCCTTAACCTTAGAACCCAAATCCTAGGTTCATTCCCCATTTTGTTTGTTGAGACGCAAAAAATCAACAAATAATCACACATCCTTTCCTCTCTCATGCATTGAATGTGTAACCTCCTTAAGGTTCCAAATGTCATGTTACATGAGTCATTGACTTAGAAATAAATTCTAGGGATTTTTACATACATAACACCTAAAACTTCGAAAAATACATATTAAATACCTAAACTATCATATTTACTTATATACCACTAAAAACTCATTTCTAACTTTTGAAATAACACTCCATAATGTTTCTGTCAAAACCACTCCACTTATTCGCTCGAGCATGTAGTGTTACCTTCTTCCCGCGTGAGATCTTCTCCAACTCACAAAACTATTTCTTCTGACTAGCCATTCGTGTGCCCTAGGTTCCTGTACACGTGCGACTTCTCCGACGACCACCGTGGCATCTTCTTCATCGAGCAGGTATTATTGTTGTTCTGACTCAAAATTAATTTGAATAACATGCAATACGAGTTATCTTGAGTTGTTGTAAAAATCCGTAACAAATTTTTACAGTTTTCTAACTTGACAGAAAGCGTAAGTTGAGTTGTTATAGCATGCTATATGAATTCTCTTTACTTGTGGTAATAATCTGCAAATGATTTTAAAGCTTCTGAACTGAGAGGAATGTGTATTTAAAACGAAAAATTGGCAAACTTCAGTAATGCATAGCATTAAAACTGATAAATAAAAAAACTAGTAAGTTAAACATATGCACTACTCCTATATGTTCTTGAAGGGATGCGAAATTCCTGGCAAATTTCCAACTTCATGAAGCTACTCTGCTCTCAGCCGAAAGTTGGCATCTACATCTGTTTTATTACCGTTTGCAGCCACTTCAACCTTTTATACATATATAAAGATCAGAAGATGTAAAGCAAACTAATTTCAACAGGTTTTAGTTGGTTCATGTAGGAGGCGAAGTGCGACTGATTGGAGAAGAAGATGAGAAAACAACAACTTATAGGAGGCGAAATGCGACAGATTGGAGAAGAAGACAATAAAACAACAACTAATACATTCATATGATGAAAAAAAATTAGAACCATCCTTCGATCTTCAAACAACAACTAAGACATTCACGAAATGTAAAATACGAACATCAATTCTTGCTGATCTTCTCTTCGAATGCGACCGAGAAGATGCGAGGCCAAGGGAAGATGTGCCTCGTGTGAAACCTTCAAACGCGACAGGGAAGGCAAGGGTTTGGACTCGTGAACGAGGGGAAGACGAAGGGAATACGACACGTTGCGGAGAAGGGAAGGGTTTTGCGACCGATGAGAAGAGACGAGCGGTAGGGCTTTTTACACGGAACTCAGATGGCGTGAGAGAATAGTAACAAACGGGTCTTTTAGTGGTATATAAGTAAATATGGTAGTTTATGTGTTTAATATGTATTTTTCAAAGTTTTAGGTTTTATGTATGTAAAAATCCCTAAATTCTAAGTCACCAATTCCTTATTTGTTGAGACAAAATCAACAAACAATAATCATCCCTCTCATGCGTAATGATTGGAACCTCTTCAAGGATCCAAATATATCATTGCATGACTCCTAGCTTAGGAGCGATCACCGATCTCCCCCATGCATGATGTTGTGGATGTTTTTAAAAGTCCTAAATGCATCATGTTGTAAATTCTTGAACTTGAGATCGAATTTCAATTTTTTTCATCACATTTGCTTAGCCACTAATTAAGCAAATGAATACTCCTTCCTAGGCAACAAATGTTCAAGGAATCCCTTCCAACTTGCAATCCAAAAGTTGCTTGTTGTTTCTCTCTTCTACAACTCAAAAGTTGTAGAAAGCTCTCTCATTCTCCTAAGCCCAAATTTAGGAGACCGGATATCTCCCTTCAGACACCATATGTTCAAGGACATTCAGGATTCAAAGTCCTATCTCTAATTCATCCTTCCAACCCAAGTTGGAAGGATACAACCCTCTCTTTGAACATCAAAATATTCAAAGACATTCATGAATTTGCAATTCATAGGTTCAATATTCATGTCTTTCTCTTATAACTTTCAAGTTGTAGGAGATATCTCTCTTTTGTTCCAAAAGCTAAGGAGGATCTTCCAACACTTACCTCAAAAGCTATATGTTAGACACTTTCCCTTCCTCTTCTTTAGCCCCAAAGCTAAAAAAAGTATACATCTCCCTAGCTCCAAAGGTTAAGGAGAATCCTCCAACACTTAACCCAAAAATTAGTGTTTGACATATTTTCCGTAGACCCAGACTTTAAGTAAAACACCCTTAGTGTGACATGTCACACAAGCCTCATACACTTAGGTGCACATCCCCTTAAGCATGCTAGGATTAGATTTTTTTTTTTGCGCATGTGTTTGATGCTTGCATAATAGGTGCTACTTAAAACCTCATCAAGTGATGTGGTCAATAAGATAGAAACAGGTGCTTGGCACTCTAAGTGCTAGGCAATTCTGGATGTTCTTTCATGATATATAAATTGCTTCTAATATCTACCATGTTTTGAAGGTTTTGAGTATTTTATATTTTGATATGTATTAGATAAAATTAGGAGTTGTATTAAACTTGTGGGGTTGGGCCAAAGAAGAGTTGGATCAAGAAAGAACGTACCTATGGAAGGTGAAGCCTGAAGATCTACCTAGAAGCTGAAGTCTGAAGACCCCCACAAGTAGAGTCTGTAAATAAATGTTTGATTGGGTTGTATAATGGCTAGCAACTCAGCTGTCAAATCTGGTTCTAATAATTCATACTCTATGATTTACATTTCATGTGTTTTATTTATACATTCAAGCATGTTTGATTTGTTTAATGGGTGCTCAATAGAAATGCATGCTTTTTTTCTAGGTTTCTTCCTTGTTTTGTTTGGGGTGACATGGACTTTTGATGAGGTTGGCTTTTAGAGTAAAAATAAGATTTCTATCCATTAAAATATAAACAATTTTTTAAAATCAAACTAGGTTTAACATTTTTCTAACAAATAAAGAAAAATTGCATGGCTCCTTTCAAGGAGCCAAGTTTTTTCAAACTTAAAATAATCATGCATAACTTAAATGTGTCGCATATAAAAAGCTGTCACTTAAGAATTATATAACAAAAAATATATATTTTCTTTGTGAGTTAGCATTATGCACTACCCGTCAAAATTAAGCATAATGGTCTCAAAGCTAAGTTGTAAGACCTACTTTCTAAACAAAAAATAGCCTCACGATCGAAAATCATGATTTTAAAAGTAATTAAGTGGGTTTAGCTGGTAGCCCTTTCCAGGTATGACAATAAATTCAGAAGTATGGCTGACTATGTATTATGTGATGTGTAGTTTGTAAGTCCCTTTGCATTCCATTATACTTAGGTTCGAGGTACTACCTCTTGGTAGTCATCACCTTAGTTTTAGAATCCGAGGTAATGGTTGATTCCAATAACCATACAAGTCCTCACCTTCTGGGCAATTTCTCCACCATATGTTGTTGAAATGTAAGCCCCAACCTTCTAATGAAAATATCAACTTAAATAAAAATTAGATTCATAAAATATAAAGCTCAATATATGATATTTTAAGTACCTCTGAGCTCCCCTCAGAATCAAGATTCCACTTCTTTTCTTTGGCCCTTATTCCAAAAAATCTGATTTCAAGTTGATCCCCTATCTTCTTTGAAATTCCTAAAGGTCAAACCCTTTAAGCAAATTTTCATGGATTTCAAAATCAAACTTTAGCCAATATTTGAATGACTATAAAAAAAATCACTAATTTAATCAAAAGTGTTCTCCAGCATCAAAGCTTGAGATGTAATTAACCATAGGCCAAAAAAAAATAAACTCCATTCAACCAAACATTGAATGGGGGAATATCTGTTAAATTATAAATTTATTATTGAGTCCATAAGAAAATTATATTTTTATCCTTCGGTGTACTATATCATCTTTTTTATGGCATACTCGATCACAAAGTATGCAATCCGTTTGAAGACAACAAAAATTCTCCAACAATGACCATTAAAAAGTGTGGAAGGAATACACAAGTGAAAATGAAAAAATTCATATTTTGGCCAAAAGGACTTATTAGAACCGCCCTTTGATAAGGTTATGGTTATCTTTACACATTAGTATAAAGAGAACAAAAATGTTCCTCAAAAAGCAAAGAAATAATAAGCTGCCAGCATCAACTCCTTTGAGTAAATCATGAATAAAGCTTGGCGAAGTTGAATTGCTTGATAAGGGAAACTGACAAAAAAGAATATTTTGACCCAACAGAATCTGCTTAAGCTTAACAGGCAGGTCAGCATGATTCTTTGGAATGAATATTGAACAATGATGACCAAGCAAACAGCTAGCTGAATAAAAAGACACCATCATTCCGAGCTTCCAACAAATTATGTGGGGTTGGTAATTTAATCTCAAGCACTATCCTAAAAATTTAACAGCTGTTTAAGATAGGATGTGCATACCTCTCTAATAAGAGCCAAGTTACCATCACTTTCCCCATGCACAAATGCCAGATAGTGTTGCGGAACTGCAATAGTCACGGTTTTTCTTGGTGCAATTCCCGCTTGAGTTGCACTGTGTAACATGCTACCAGAGTAAGATATTAACTATAAAATAAGCTCATAGGCCAAGAAATAAAACAAACCTTCCCACAGCAACTCCTTTTGGGTTTCCACTCTATAACATATCACAAAATAGTGAAAAGCTTAAAAAGTATCATAAAATGTTTTAATTAGAGGATCAACCAGCATACTCTATACCTCACACAATGTTACCTGTGGAGTCCATAATTGAGGTGAAGAGGCAGGAAGGTTTCTTGGAGATTCTATTGAAGGATGCAGAACTTGAGGAAAACCAACAGCAGCATACCGAACAGGAGGTGCATCATTTCGTGGTATACACGGAAGCATCATCTCTGGCACAACGGAAAGGTACTGAGACATCCCAATATTTGGATAATGCTTTGGTAGAAAGAAGGTCTCCCGAATTCTGTTAGTAATATGAACCAATGCCTCTCTAACAGACTGAAAACTTCCACTCACCTGACAAAAGGGACAAAATCATTACGCTGAGTAAACTTCAATGTCAAGCATTACTCCAATATATGCCCCCAAGAAATATTTCCATTTCACCAAATCTGAAAAGGAGTGCTCTCAGATTTAACCATAATAAGTGCATGAATAATAATAATGCACTGACCAACTAGCAGATAATTCACATATACAATTTCAAGGGAGAGAGACAGAGAGATAGTTTGACATATCCAATTTAAAGAGGGTGACAGAGAGAGTTTGAATTCTTGTGTATTCCGCTAAGAAGCTTGCACACCACTGCAGTTATTCTATGCTATACTAGGCAATTTTTCTTTCAAAAAAACTAATTACACAATGATTAGTCGACAATTTCACTAGGATAGAAAAGTATTAACAATGCTTCTATAGATACACCAAAGAGAATACGGAAAGGAATTTCTACAGCTTGCAGAATCAAGGAAAAGATCCCTTCAAAGGGATTCCTAGGCTAGATCAGCCAGCTGCCTAATGAGGACACCGGCAGAAAAGTCTGGAGCGTCTACCAAAGTGGGGGGGGGGGGATTTTATGCCTTGTTTTTGGGCTGATGTTGGTTCCTTGTGTGGGCTTGTTTGGCTCGGGTTATGCTTCCCTTTGGTGGCTGCTGTGTTCTACTTCTTAAATTAGCTCATTATGATACTTTTCAACTCATAAATATTATTTAATTAGGTTCACCCCCCCCCCCCCCCGCGCTTGGCTCCTGTCCCGTGGCTGGTTCTTCTCCCTGGGCTGCCTGTTCTAGTTCCCTGTGGGCGTTTGTTCCTGTCTCCCGTGGCTACCTTTTCCTGCCCCCCTTGTGGTCCTTCGGCTGCTGCTCCTGGACCGTATGCTGGCCTTCTGTTTTCCCTTTCCTAGATGGTTCAACTGGAGTGTTTTCGGGGTTGTTTGACTGCCTTTTCTCAGCTATAAATATGTGATGTTTTGTTTTTAAAACATAGAGGAGATTATGTGATAGTTTTTGGAGCCAAAAACCTGCGGGTTTCTTCTTGAAAAAGCTTGCGAGCTTGTTTCTTTTCTCTTCTTCTTGGGAAAGCTTGCGAGCTTGTCCTCTCTTTGATTTCGTCTTGAGCTTCTTATCTCTTTCTTCTCTCCACAAGTTCCACATCAAGGTCGAATGTGGGCCAGCGTAAAACTAATCGAATAATCATGATATGAATTATTTAAAAAATTGTGTTAATGCTAGGGCGTCCCCTAGAATCGACATGTTGTATGGCCTGATTACATCGACAAGTGTGCAAGAGTCGCTGCACCAGTGACCGGATTCAGTGCTAAATAGGTAAGGGTTCCCACATCAAGGCTGGATGTGGGCAAAAAAGCTAATCCATGAAACTAAAATTAGGATAGGAACTTGGAATATAGATTCTCTTACAGGAAAATTAATGAAATTAATATATATTATGATTCATATGAAAATAAATATTATGTGCATTCAAAAAACTAAATGAGATGGAGAGAAGGCTAAGGAGTTTGATAGTCAAATATTTAAACTATGATATTCATGTATGAGTCGTACTAGAAATAGTGTATGTGTGATTATATATAAGGTTTGAAGGATAATGTTATAAAAATTAATAGAATTAGAGATAGAATTATAGTTTAAAAAATTATTGTTGATACTAAGATTGTTAATATTATAAGTGCATTTGCTCCTCGAGTAGATTTGGATATGGGTTCAAAATTAAAATTTTGGAATAATTTAAAAAAATTAATACAAAAGATATCTCTTGAAAAAAGAGTTTTTATTGGAGGAGATTTAAATGAACAAGTTCTTATAGAGATAGATGATTATATAAACATTCATGGTGGTCATGGGTTTGAAACGACAAACGAATGTGAGAAGAACATATTATATTTTTATTTAGCTTATAGTTTTTTTAATTGTTAATACCTTATTTAAGAAAAGAGATCACCTCATCATTTATATAAAAATGGATATAATAAAACTCAGATTGATTATTTCTTTATAAGAAAATTAGATCATTTAGATTACAAAGATTGTAAAATAATTCGAATGAAAATTTATGTACTCAACATTGATTATTAGTTTTGAACTTTAAGATAAAGGGAAAAAAATAAAATAATATTCAAGGATTAGATGGTGTCATTTCAAGAATATTAACAAAAAATAATTTTTAGAGTAAGATTTTAGATATTAAGATTTTGTTTGTGCATGAGGATACTAATATTATGTGTAAAAAAGTGGCTAGTAGTATTAAAAATATTGCAAAAGATATGCTTGGAGTATCAAAGGGAAAAACTCATAATAGTAAAAATATTTAGTGGTGGAATCCAAATGTGCAAGAAAAGAAAAAAATAAGAAAACTCATTATAAAATTAATTTAGATAAAAAAAATTTAATAATTGGGAAAAATATAAAGAGGCACGTAAGGATTCTAAGAAAGCAATATGCGATGCAAATATTTTAGCTTTTAATAATTTATATAATAAATTAAATACTAAGGAGGGAGAAAGATATTTGTATAAGTTAGCCAAATAAAGAGATTGGAGTAGTAAGGATTTAATACAAGTGAAGTATATTAAGGATGAAGGTCAAAAGGTACTTTTCTAGAAGATTTTCAACAAAAATGGATGAGATATTTTGCTAAATTTTTTAATAAATAATGTGAAAATACGATTGACTTTAGTGACCATAACATCCTAAATGAAAAAATAGTTTAAAATTGCACAATCTGATGCGCGCCTTAGCGCTATTTTTTGTGCTTTTGGCAGGATAGAAATGTTATGTTTGTATTTATCATAACTGCTATACATGATTTATGGGAAAGAAGGGTATATATATATATATATATTGATGTTTTGAATTATAGAATTTATTTTCGTTGTTTATTATAGATAGATAAAATTAGATAGCTCTGAGGTTGTTATTAAAAGATAAAAAAATAATTATTCCAAATTAGATTCTAGGGTGTTACACACTTCATGTGTCGTTGCGCTCGCAAGCACTACACCATTGTGCTCTTGCCCAGATTTTTCAAATTTTATTTAAAAATTATTTACACAAATTTCAATTTATAACAAGGAGAAAGAGAGATAAATAAGTGTAAATTGTACTCAGAGAATATCAAAAGATTTTGAATATATCTAAAGACCTAGGAAGTAATTAAAAGATATAAAATGTGCCACCTCACCACTTATTTATAGGGCTTACAAAGCTATAGAGAAGACTACACAATGAAAAAGAAAAAATAATAAAAAAGCACAATTTTGATGACAACACATTACAGACTACACATAACATGTGGCAAGAGTTAACAATGCTTTTGTGGCTCTGTATCTTCAATATTTCCTCTGGTCCCATGGTGAATCCCCTAGATAAGTCAACTTGGGCAAGTTCTTCAGAAAAGGTGCCATGCAGGATGAGTTTGTGTGGGCGAGTCCTCTCGTGTCAAGGCGATTCTCTAAAGACTTTACTTTGGCATCTAGAGTCGAAGGAGAAGTTCCTTGGTAGGATAATGATTGCGAGCTAAAAATTTTTTGAGTCTGAGGTTCGTAGTTATTGATCTTGAGGTGTGCACTGGATCAAGGGATGTAAGAGAAAACTTGAAAATTATGTCGATGGCAAGTAGTATTGGGAGGCTAATCTTTGCAGCTATGAGAATCCCTCTAATACTTAGAAGGATTTGTATGAATTTGTTGATATACGTACCTAGGATGACTCTTCGATTTGATTGAATTGACCAAGTCACACTCCTACTAACAAGTGCCTTAATAGATGATATGACTACTTTGGATGAGCTCCCTTGCTGGAAGTTGCTAAGTATCTCTGAAACATCTGTAAAGGCATATACGAGTATATAAATATCTATTTTATTTTATAAAATTATAATGGGAATATGGTTTATGGAAAGGTAATGGTGGTTAAGACAACTTCCTCCAATAAATTTTTGGAATAGTCCTTTCAATTAATAAGACCCCAAAGGTCACAAGAAGATAACGATTTTTTCTTCATACTATCTCATTTTGTTGTATAGTCCCACTATAGGAGGATTCATGAATGATAAAATTTTCTTGGAGAAAAGAGTTGTAATTTGATTAAAATATTCATTCTTGTTATCAAACCTATTACATTTAATATTAGTGTCGAATTAGGTACGGCTCATTTTATGAAATATGGAGAGGATTGTACTCACATCATATTTATTTTTCATTGAGAATAACCACTTAATACATTAGTAATTATCCATGAAAGAGACAAACCATCAGGATAGATGCTATAAATAAATATGGATTAAGGAAAAGGCATGGAGGCTTTTGAGTTGCTTAAAGGCTAAGATGTCCGATCGTGCTTGGCCATTTGACATACCTCACAAGGGAACTATTAAACTTTTATTTTATAAAATAATGCGGGAAACATAAATTATAGTCTATGATGCACAAACATAAATATGACGACATGAGCACGACACAATACGGATACGAGACACATCAATTTTTTAAAATATAAGACATAGATACGGGTTAGACATGATATACAATATATATATATATATATATATATATATATAATGGTAATTTCAGATGTTTATGTTGAGATGACATCAAGTATTTTTTAGAAACCATAGCCGCCACTCGTTAGAGAGAAACGAAAATGGAATTATTCGAAGAATAGGATATTGAGTGCGGGCGATTGATTTTAGAGTGTATAGAGGAAATAAGAAATTTAATTTTTTATTTAAAATAAATAAAATTTTGACAAATATAAAAAATTATAATAAAAAAGTTCATAAAATATTTAATGCACGCATGTCAAATTTATTTTTAATATTTTTTAATCATACAGATCTTCAACGTATCTAATACGTGTCAAAAGCGTGACAGATTTGTGTTGTCTCTAATATGTGTTGGACGCTACATATTTTTTTTAGAATTGTCGAGCATCATAGAAACATATTCATTCACTTTAACGGTATGAAAATTTGAATACAAAAAGGGGTATATTAAGCTTCATGCATTCATATTCAATGGGCCATCTATCCTTTATTATATTATAACTATGATGCACCGGCATATCTTATCAAATAGATACGTAGTGTCCGTCACGCATCTAAAATGCCTCCAACACGTGTCAAATGCGTCAAAGATGTGTCCAATTAAAAATAAAATATCCGTGAAAAAACTTATTTTTAATATAATTTCTTGTATTTTGAATTTTATTTATTAAAAAATAACATTTCTCTTTTAAATATAACTTCTTGTCATGTTTTACTTACTAGAAATTTGCAAGAGGATGTACCCTGGTTTATGTTTTTGTTTATGATATTATTCTTGTTGATAAGGCTAGAGAAAGAGTTGAAAAAAAATTTAAATTATGGAGGTCATCTTAGAGTTTAGGTTTTCGTTTTAGTAGAACTAAAATCGAATACAATGAGTGTAACTTTAGTAATAACAAATCAAGTGGGAAGTGTGACCTTGGGCAATCAAGTCATTAAATAGAGTACATGTTTTAGATATCTCGGATCTATTATTCAAAGTGATGGTGAATAAATGGAGATATTATCAATAGAATTAATGTTGGATGGTTAAAGTGGAGGAAAGAATCAGTCTGTTGTGTGATAGAAAAGTACCCCTCAAACTTAAATAAAAATTTAATAAGATGGCAATGAGACCTGTCATGATTCATGGAGCAAAATGTTGATCATTAAAAGAGAAGCAAAAAATTAAGTTAAGAGTTGAAGAGATGAGGATGCTCACTGGATGATTGGCATTGCACTTAGTGACAGAATGTGAAATGAGTAAATATATGAAAAGATTGGAGTAGCTCAATGGTAGATAAGATTAGATAGAGTCGTCTTAAATGGTTTGGTCACATAAAACATAGGTCTTTTGATGACCCAATTAGGATAATAGATGTATTAAATCTGACCTATGTTAATAAAAAAAATGAAAGCCTAAATAAACTTGAATGAAAATTTGACTCTTAATAGGACACAATGGTGAAAAAAGATTTCAAGTAACCGATCCCATGTAGTGGGATAAAGGCTTAATGTTGACAATAAAAAATAAATAAATTTATTATTTCCTCTCTACAACCGAAAATCAATCACCTGCACTCAATACCACATTCCCCGAGTATTCTCATTTTCATTTCCCTCTAGCGGGTCGCAGTTAAGGTTTCACAATGGCGCCCAATGTTATCTCAACATCAACATTCGATGCAAACACAACATCAATATTTTAAAATCATCTCAACATCGAAGTCTAATATTGTCTTGATATTGATGCTTGACACAAGCAATTTCTACACCCACAATCACACCCCTGCGCCCTCTCGATATGTCATCTTTGTCCAACATATAAGCATCGACGGCCAATGGAGCCTCGACATCAACGCCCAATTCCCATTACATAATATTGATGTCTAATTCTTAACAACATCATCGTCTCCCCTCTCAATGTCTAACGCATGACATCGATGCTCAACTCTCAACAATCCAATATAAATTATTTTAAGTAAAAATCCTATATTTTCAATAATTGACGTGTCTCATGTCCGTGTCATATCGTGTTCAGGTCACCGTGTACGTGTTTGTGCATCATAGCATTTGGTCTGCCACAACCCGACAAACATTCATCATTATCATGAAGTAATGGAGAGAGATTACATAGGGGCTAAAAGGGTTTATGCTTTGTGCATTTCCTACACAAACACATTAAGGTACAGACGGTGCTTGATAAGCAATATAAAAGTAATTCATTTCGATGGAGAGTAGATGGGGAAAATTATGGCCCATCCACAAGGTCATTGATACAATGTAAATGTTTAACAAAGATATTAGACAATATTTTACTTAATAGTCGGTTCCAAAGTAGAAGCTAAAGGTGACCAATAAATGGAATTCTCAGTAATATAAACATTAAAAAGTACAAAAAAGTTCAAGCCACTTAAAAGAAAGGTCAATCAAAAAAAGTAGCGCCTGCAGATTGCAGCACCGTTGTAAAATAATTAATATATACCTGAACAAGCTCATCATTTGGTTGAGCACATTTTGGGATTTGTTCCTTCACAAAAATTTTGATGTTCGCTCCTGTTATTCGTCTCATTTCAGCAATAATGGCTCCACCTTTACCAAGCAAACAACCAATCTGCTGTGCAGGCACAAGAAGCCTGGCAGAAACTAATCCTTTGTCCATGCATGCCTCTATAAGCCTGGAATGAACACGGAGAACAGCATCTTGTGCTGGGGAGGGCTTCAAATCATAACTCTAAACAAAGCAAAACCAGCTAAGAATTGGAGCACTAGAGGAATCAGAATCAAAACAAAAAACACGTGCTTCAGATATTACAACGAAGAAGAGTTAGGCAGGCTTCTACTTAATAATCAATACTCCAACCTAGAACCTAAAGAAGACCCGTAAATTTCTCAGTTGGATAAAAAACGTAGTTGTAAACACACCTCACATGCAGAGATCAAAATAATTCTATCATCAGAATCACCAACTGCATCAACGACCATTATTACTGCCCCAGTTTCACTTTGCAAACACTGCACAATGGCACCAGATTTGCCAATAATGGTAGCAACTTTGTCATTCGTGCATAACAATCTGAAAGCAACCTCTTCTTCGGGAAGCTTTCTCTGACCAGATAAAATAGTATCCAAGGGTGGATTAGATGAATAAGCCCTGTGATTATAATCAAGGCCATGTGAACTGACCGAGTAACCTCTTTGAGGAAATGCATCTAATGGTGCAGAAGGAACAGGTCCTTGCAAGCTCCCCTTATATGGTTTGGGAGTAGAAAATGTGGTCGGATCTACCTTGTTATTACCCTGCAGACAGCTGGCAACAGATAGAAGTGCTTTCTTCACAGCAAGGAAACTCCCAGATATCTGCCAGATCAAACGATTGACAGTAAGGATTTATTCAGAAGCACACTAGAAAATAAAGCTGCATTTACTAAGTTTAATAATCATTTTTTTAAGTAAAAATTAAAGCAAAACCATAATCATTTCAAGTTACTGGTAGCATAGGCTAGAACTGAACGCTTGGCATGCCAAGGACAAATATAATCACAATGATAATCATCAGATAAGTATTTCATCTTCAAGCCAAAAACTATAGCAGAGTTAAGCATGCATGCAATCTCTCTCTCTCTCTCTCTCTCTCTCTCTCTCTCTCTCTCTCTCTATCTCTCTCCTATTTAAGATTCCATAATAGCTTTGTGACAAAGGACGCATGGTTTATTTGAAAAATTAATACCCTAGTGGAATAAAGGTTTGATGTTGATGTTGTACTAAATTGATTAGGTTGTTTGACTCCCACAGCATAAAATTTCAAAAGAAAACAAAAACTCATAAAAGTTGGGGAAATTCCAACCATTTTCATTACGAAGCCAGTACTTAGAAGAAAACCAATTAACCAAGCTGGAGTTATTTAAGACAAGGTATACACATGCAATACAACAGAACAATTAATAATCTATATCTTATAACAAAAAGTAAACATTTAGATTTACCCCAAAGAACCTCAAGCTACTCCGTGACTTTTCACGGCAACCTTCATAAAAGAACAGTTAGAAAAAAAAAACAACGACCACCTTACTAGGAACATATAAGACGAAATGACAGAAAATCAGTAACAATAGGAACATCATTATAATAATTAGAGACTAATTAATGTCATTAAAAAAATTAATCGAGATTGATTAATACCTAATCCAATTAATTAAGTTCATTTATATTAAAAGATAACTTTAAATGCCACTAAAAGCCCTCATGCAGTGAAGTAACCCAAAACATTTAGTACGCAGATTCTTGTAGCAATTGATAACTCCAGCCAATGGTGAATTGGTGATGAACACAAATCCATATTTCTTTACTAGTCAAATTCGCTTGTAGTCACTCAAGCTGCTACTTGTTAGGCCCCACGGAGATGTCCTTCAATAAGTTGGATGAAGATTTCGGAAGCTTTTTTTTTTTTTTTTTATTTTGAGTTTTATCATTTCTCGTTATTTTCTTAGTTATATTTCGACAATATTTTTCTTGCATTCAGACACAGATAACTAACATAACTTGGCTAGTATGTGTCGTGCATGGTGCTCCGATTTTTTTTTTTTTTGGTGATATTCACATCTCTTGCTATAGTGACCCGGAGCTTCAATTAGTGTGAAGGTTGCTGGAAAAAGGTCTTTAAAGGTGTCCTATAGCTCAAAAAATGGTCTGTAACAGTTCTCTTAAGCCCATGAAAAAGGTTGGCATTACCTCTATGGGAGAGAGAGTTGAAAGGTCGTAATAGTTTTTTTTTCTTCGATGTTGGTGAAGGTGATTAATGAAATTCCAAAGAAAAACCTTCAGGAGTGGATGCAGGATGAATGAGAAATTGGACCACTATAAATTTTTCACTTGTATGATTTGATTTTTCTCTATCTTTCTCTCATAAATGTCACATTTATTCCACATCCGTCTCAGGTGTGATTCTGCTCTTACTTATGCTCTACTATGGAAGCTATATATCGGTTGAGAGGTTTGATGGAGAAGTATAGAGAGAGTAAGTATGATCTACATATGATGTTTATTGATTTAGAGAAAGCACATGATAAAGTTTCAAGAGAAGTGCTCTAGAGAGTTCTAAAAAAGAAAGGTGTTAATAATGCTTATATTCAAGTCATTATGAATATGTAATAAGAAGTTACTTGTATTCAAACAAAAGATGGTTTGACACTTTGACCAAGTATTTTTCTATTTCAATTGGATTACACCGATGATGAATTTTAAGCCCACATCTTTTTGCTTAGTCAAAGATGTTCTTACTAGATATTTGCAAGAGGATGAACCCTAGTGTATGCTATTTATTGATGACATTCTTTGTGTTGATAAGACTAGAGAAAGAGTTGAAAGAAAACTTAAATTATGGAGATTAACCTTAGAGTAAAAGTTTTCATTTAAGTAGATCCAAAACTGAATACACTGGGTGTAATTTTAGTAGAAATAAATCTAATAATGGGATTATGACATTGGGTGATCAGGTCATTAAAATGAGTGCACATTTTAAAAATCACGGGTCTATTGTTCAAAGCGATGCTAAAATAGAGGAGGATATTATTAGTAGAATTCAAGTTGCATGGTTGAAGTGAATGAATGCAACGAGCCTATTTTGTGATAAAACGTTCCCCTCAAACTTAAGGGAAAATTTATAAGATGGCGATAATACCTGCAATGTTTTATGGCGCGGAATGTTAGCAATTAAGTTAACTGTTGTAGAGATGATGATGCTCAGATGGATGAGTGACTTTGCAATTAGAGCAAGATGCGAAACTGGTATATACATGAAAAGGTTGGAATAACTCCGATGGCTGATAAGATTAGAAAGAGTCACCTTAGATAGTTTGATCACATAAAACGTCGGCCTTTTGATGACCTAGTTATCAGAGTAGATGTAATAGATCCGAACTATGTTAACAAATGTAAGGGTAAATGAAAAAAAAAAAACTTAGTTAGAATCTATTAGAAATGATTTTTTTTATTACATTTAAATGAAAATTTGCATTTTAATAAGATGGCGGTAAGACCTGCATATTTTATGGCGCAAAATGTTATCCATTAAGTTAAGTGTTGCAGAGATGATGATGCTCAGGTGGATGAGTGACTTTACAATTAGAGCCAGATGTGAAATAAGTATATATGTGAAAAGGTTGGAATAACGCCAAGGGCCGGTAAGATTAGAAAGAGTCACCTTAGATAGTTTGATCACATAAAACGTCGACCTTTTGCAGACCTAGTTAGGAGAGTAGATGTAATATATATGAACTATGTTAAGAAAGGTAAGGGTAAATGTTGACGAATATTTTCGCATCGACTCGACCCCGACAAAGCTCGATCGCGCTCGATCAATTCAATTGATCATCATCGAGGTAAAATTACTTTAAATTGAGCCTCAATTAAATTAAATTAAATCAAATTTAATTTAATTTAAATTAAATCAATCAAACCCCGTCGAGTGTCGGCGAGTTCAATGCGACGCAATTCGGCACTTTTCGGCCTCGATCCGAGCCCAATTTCGTAGAATTGGCTCGATCTGACCCGTTTCGGTCCGAACCGACTCTAATCGATTCAAATTGGGTCCAATGCGAACCCAATTTTAGCCCAATTCATCAAGTCTTAGCTCAATTCAAATCTCAAATCAAGATTTGAATCAAACGGCTTGGATTTCCTCTAAAATCCCGCTCTGTTTTCCATCAAATCGCCTGGTTTCAGCGGCTACAGCAGAAGATCCACTCGAGTGCGATCTTTTCGCGTGTAGAAGGAATGGGAGAGATAAAGGAGACGGGATTCGACTCCTTCGTGGCTTTTCGTTGGTCCCCGTCCCAACAGAGAGAGCGAGAGATAGAGAGCGGTAGAGAGCGAGAGATCCAGAGAGCCAAAAGCCCAGTCCAGGCGGAACTTCTTTTCGCATCCAAGGCTCTTTCGCGCAACTGTTTCCCCCTTGTCCCGCGACTACCTCACGAGCAGGCATCCCTCCTGCGTGCGGGAGTCCCGTCCAGCCCCTCTCTCGTGTGCGACAGCTCCGTCCGAGCTCATCCAGGACTTCGGTCGGACCTACCAGGAGGTTCGGCTCTTTCCTTCGCCGGACCTGCGCGACCCGACCACCTCGGGTCTATTTCGACTGACGCAAGGAAGGCTTTACATTTGCCGCAGTAGCTTCTCCACCTTCCTTCCTCAACTCCGGCGAGCTCGTAGTGGTCGAGAAAGCTGTTGGAGGCTTCCAAACAAC